AAACAAAAAAAAAATTTGATTTTTTTCTCATAACTTATAAAAATTTATTTTTTAAATTCAATTAATGAGATTTTAAGGAATACTAAAATTTAGAACAAAATTAAATTAAATTTAGATTTACCTATATTTAATTATAATTATTTACTAATTATTTAATAAATTCATAAAATATTTAGTGCTGTCATTTCGGTACTTAATTAACCGAAAAACTGATTCCAAGAAACGACAACTCTTCAAGAATTATTAAATTACTGAATGAACCGTAACCCTCAAAATCACGAGAACATGAGTCAAATCTCACTAAAATATATCCCTCCCTCATTTTTCAATTTAATAAACTATATTCTGCATATAACTAATTAAACTATCCAAATTGCTTGACAACAAAAATATTTTATTTTAAATAAAAACAAATATCAACGAGAAAAATGCCTTCAAATAAAAAATAAATTGTTTAAATTTTTATTTAAAAAAGATAAATGAAAAAATGTGTGAAAAGAATACAGCAGCACATCCTGGAAAGCTTATTATGTACTCTCCCGATAGGTGATGGATGCCAATTAGTGGAATTGACTTTAAATAAGAAGCTAAAAAATAAAATAAAGAAAAGAAGATTTGTGCTTATTAAAAAAATAAAAAAATATTTATTTATTACTTATTTTATTTTGAATTTTTTAGTAAAATATTACTGTAAAATATATATCTATTAAATTAAAAAATAGGGAAAAAAATAATAATTGTCCTAAATATTATAAAATTTTTTGTTTATCAAGTAAAAATTATGTATATCCGAGGTCTTTCTAAGATTTTCCAAAGTCGACGAGCTCGAGAATAACACTTTATCTAAAGTAGAAATACATTGTAGATGAGTGTAGGAGTCACAGAACCAGGCGAATGTGATCATGGCCAAGCCGGGCTAGTATTACACTGACTTCTATGCTATCATAAGATGTTTCTTTACACAACAGCTTTAAATAATAAATATCTAAATAAGACTTTACGTTCAGATTTAATATACGATTTTTTCAATCTCAATTTCATACACTATATAATGTGTTTTAACTTATTAAATTAACATAATAAGTATACCTCTATTCATAATTTATAAATCAAGTATTCATTGAATTTTTTAACTTCAATTCAATTACTTATATTTCATAAAATGAGTGGGTGTAAATAAATTTAAAAAAATTTTTTTTAATTAATTTATTTGAAATTAAAAATAAATTTAAAAGGAAATTGAAACCTAAAAATTAAATTTAAAAAATTTTAAATATTTAATAACGTAATTTAAAGTTAATTTTAAGAATTAATTATTTTTAAATTTTAAATTAAAATTTAAAAATTTTTTTCCCATTAAAAACTTTATTTACATCAAATAATTAATTTCACATAAATATCAAATAAATATAAAATTATTTTCTAAAAAATATTTAATAATACCCTCATTTTATACCTTCAAAGTTAACCTGCTGTGAAAATAATTTAATCAATTGAGGGTGGTTAAAATATTTTTTAAAAATATTTTTCTGACTTTGTGAATTTTTATAAAATATTTTTATTTATTATTATTTGTCTCAAAAAATATTTATTTTTTTCTCATTATTATCTTTTAATTAATTATATACAGTTTTAAAAATATTTTCCCCTCATTTCAAAAAAACATATTTATTTAATTTTTTTATTCAAGCTTTGTATGTCAATTAACTCCTTGGCAACGCTTTTATATTTTTATACATATATCTAACATTTACATATATCCCTCTCCCAAGTCATTTACTTCCATATACCTTAACTTTATTTTCTTTTATTTAAAAAAATGTTTGTTAAATTTTTAAATATTTAAATAATTAAATTTCTGATTTTTTAAATAAATACAAATAAACATTAATTTTGTTTTAAATTCAAAGAATCTTTCAAATAAAAGACTAAAATTTTTTTAGAATTTTTAAAGAAAAAATATCAAAAGACTATTAAATATTTATTCAGAATTCTTTTTAAAAATAATTTTTAGAATATTCTTTAATTTTTTATTTATTTGAAGAAAAATTTAAAATGTTTTATTATACAGATAAAGTGATTGGGAGGTTATTCCAATATTTGTATTTTTTATACAAACTTAACAATTCCTTTTTTTAATTTAATAATCGTTAATCTTTTTTTTTCTCTTATTTTATTTTAAAATTACATTTTTTAAAATTTTACTTTAAATATATATTTTAATTCAATTTATTTAAAATATAATTCCAAGAAAATAAAAAATTGGAAATAAATTTTTTGAATAAATTTAGAAAAAAATTATTTTTGTATTTTAAATACAATTGCTTTTATTTAAAATTCAAGTTTATTTAATTAAAATAAAAATTTTTTAATTTTAAATTTATGAAAAGATTATTAAATTATTATTTCAATTTCTTCCTTTTAAATTTTTCTTCCTTCTAAAACTTATCCTTCCAACTTCCATTAAGCTTCTTTTAAATTTATTTTTCTAATTTATTTGCTCAATTAATTTATAAACAAATATTTAAAATATCCTCCTCATCTTTATTTTTCTGCACATTTAATCTCAATTTTTGTCTTACGTCATTTATTTCTAAGTACACTTTAAGGCAAATATTTAGTACTTTTTTTTTTAAAAATTAAGTAAAATTTTGCTCAATCATTTTATTTATTTAAAAACAAAAACAGCTTTTAATATTTTTTATTTATTTTTAAAGGAATTAGTATTCCAAAAATATTTAAAGATTAATCATCATTTTGTTTTGATAAAAATAACATTTATTTATTTCAAGGAAATTTCTAACAGAATAAAAAAATTAAATTTTATTAAAGAAAATTAATAATTAATAAAAAATATATTTTTTAAATTCATTATCTCTTTCCTAAATTAAACGATTAATCGGTGATCCTTAAAATAATTTTTTTAATTGTTTGGGATGATTAATAATTACAAAAATTATTTATCTATTAACCTAACATTCTAAATATAAATTCAAAAATTATTTAAAGAATCACCGTTATCATTCTATAATTTTTGTCTATTTCCTGATTTTAATTCTATTCGCTAAATTCCGCGATTTAAATTAAATTATAGATAGTTTTAATATGTATTCGTTTGACGTAATCAATCCTCGAACATTCAAATCTGACAGGAATTGGTGTTTATATATAAATATTAATTAATATTTTGATAATTGTTTATAATATTTTTAAAATTTATTTTAATAGTAGACCTACCTACAATAAAATATTACCTAGTTTTAGCTATGTAACAATTACTCATTGTCCGAGTTTTTATAAAAACTATGGATCATGCTGTTATTTTCTAAAATTTAAATAAATATTTACTTTAACTACAGGGTGACCCAAAAGATCTGGTGTTTTATTTGACCTCGATATCTTAAATTTGAATAAAGTTATGACAAAAATAGTGTGCCCGGTATCTTTTGGGTCACCCTGTATTTCAATTAACTATTGACTTTAATCTCTATTTCTTTCTAAATTTTTTATTATAAATAAATTAAATTTAGAAAAATTATTTTTCTCTTTTTTTCAAGTATTTCCCCAAATTAAATATTTGTTTTGCTTATTTTATGCATCATATATTATAAACAATCCAAATCCAATTTTGTATAAGTGGCTTGCTTACTCTCTCTTTTTTCCTTCCTTCCCTTTTTAAATTTCTTCATTTTAGCTTCCACTTAAATATTTTATTAAATTTTTGGTTAAATATATTGTTTCTTTTATTTTTAATTTAATTTAAAAAAAAAATAAATTGTATTTTTTTGTAATTTATTCTTTATCAAACAAAGAAATATAGAAGCCAGAAACAATAAAAAATATAAAAAATAGTGGAAGCCATTAATATGTAACAATTAATTAATTTATTTATTGTCTATACCAAAACAATTAAATACTTATTTTTGCTAATACTTTTATTTATTCAAAATTAAATTGTTTTATTTAAAAAAGGAATTATTTTATTCATTTATTTAAAACAAATTAACTGATAAATTAATTGATAATTATTATTTATTTTATCTTTTTATCAAAAAATGTCTTAAACCTCAAAATTTCCTTTTCAATTAAAATTCCAATAAAATTCTTGATTTAATCTTTTTTTTTTAGAAATTTACTCATAAATTCTCTTTTTCTCTAAATTTACTCCTAAAAATTAAAAAATACTACAAAAATTTATGTAGTCGAGCACAAACCAGTTTTTGTATGTGATTCAATTTAAATCTATCCAAAAACTCTCAATTTAAAAATAAAATAAACAGGCTTGCACCATTGACACGAATTTTGGTATCCGTATCCCGATTATTTACGGTGGATACAAGCTGATATCCGCAGGCATCTTGATATTATCTGTATCAATATCCGCAAGTCTGTAAATAAATTTATTTTTATTTAAATTAATGATATCATTTTATTTATTTATATATACTATTAATAGAACTACAACAAGCATTCCTTCTTTTAAAACATAAATAGTATTATGTTTTATTGTATATTATCCTCCACAAAATTATTAATATAATACACCTGCTTCTCAAATATTATTTAAAAAAAAGAAACAAATAAATATATGCTACAAATCTTTATTTACTTTTAAATGTTTATTTTTACTCCAAAAATAAATAACTCAAAATAACTTTTTTTTTTAATTTTCTAATATTTATTTTTAAATTTAGATGTACTCAACAATTTAAAATTAAAATTATTTAAGGAAATAATCAAAGTACTTTAAATAAATTTAGATATTAATTTAGATATTATTAATAAAATAACGGGAATTTGTGTCCTTTTTCAAAAAATTTTTAGTTTCTTAATTCTCCTTTTTTAATTTATTTTATTTTAAATTTTATTTACGTAATTTTTTAGTATTCGGATAAAAAGAATTTTCTTACAGAGATTTTAACCTTAAAAATATAAATTAACCCCTAATTTCTACATATCTACTACATAATTATTTATTAAACTAAATTTAATGTAATTAAATGTCTGGACTTTTACAAACCGGCTCAACATTGTGCAGTTCTCAACGATCAACAAACTCTGCACATACACAATTAAAACCTATTTTAATGGCTAGAAACTCTTCTCTTGGAGAAAATGTACCTCCTTCTAATGGCTCTTCTGAGGTTTTGAAATAAAATATTTTTAAAAATATTTTTTGATAAAATTTATTTAATTATGAAGAGTTTATTAATATTTTAAATAAATATTTGTTTTTGAATTTATTTTTGAATTTATTTAATTTGTTTTTGAATTTTTGAATTTTTTAATTTGTTTTTGAATTTATTTAAAATAATTTATTAAATTAATTTAAAGAATCGACCACAACAACAACAACAAAACCATCTTGCCCCTCCCCCAGTTGCTCCAGACAGTCCTCGACCACAAAAAAGTGATCGTAAGTTTTTTTTCATAAATTTTTATTTAAATATTTTAATTTTCAAAAAAGAATCTCCATTGGCCTCTGTTGGTTTAACTGTCCCTCTGCCAAGTACTGGTGGTAATACAACCAAAAAATGATTTTGAAAATAAATTTGGATATTTAAAAATTTTTAATTATAAATATATATTCATTTAGTTATTTTAAATAAAACTATCAATTTTTTATTGTTAAATAAAATGGATTTTTTTATCAATAGTATTTAAAAAGAAAAAAAACAATTTTTGCCAATTAATTTTTCTAATCAGTTAATCCTACTAAATAAATTAATCTTCAAAAAAATATACATATACCTACATTGTATTTTGTTGAATAAAATGTAAAAACTAGATTCGAATTTGTGGTTACTTTTTGTGTTCCCAATAGGATATTTTTCGATTTGAAGTATGATCTAATGTTTAATTTAAATAAAATTTTTTAGAAATTCCAAATAAATCAAAATTTGTGAATAAATTTTTTTAAATTAAATTTAACAATTAAAAAAACTTTCTGTCCATCAGACTACTTCAAAGAAACTCTTTTTTTCTTTCAAAAACGCTTTTCAAAAACTAATTGACCTTTTGATTGAATTATTTAAATAATTCTTAGAATATTTTTAGAGAGATCTTTTTTTATTATTTGGCGCCCAATTGTTGAATTTTCTTTAAAAGGAGAAGAAAATAAATATTTACAAAATTATATTTATTTATTCCAATTTACTAAATAATTAAAAAATAAATTTGTTTTTTTTTACAAAAATTAATTAGAAAATTTTTAATTTCTGTTTAGACTGACACAAAACTTATTTTATTGAATTGACCCAAATTTTAAATTTTTAAATAAAAATAACACAATTTATGTAAATTAAAATAAAAAATACCATTTTGTAACTAAAAATCTTTTTTATTTAAAATTTTGGATTTTATTTTATAAAAATTTCAATTAATTTTATGTTTTTGTTTAAATGAAAAAAACATTTTTTATCCACAGGTGTTTTTTAATTTATTTTATTTTTTATTTAAAAACACAATTTAATTGTAAAATGATTAGAAATTAAAAAAATAAATTCCTTAAAGATGTTTTTTAGTAATAAAATAAAAAAGTTATTTAGTAAACTAAAAAACTTTTATTTTTTAAATAAAAACAGGTGGCTGCAATCTGAAACATATTCTTATACATATACACTTAAATAAATAAATATTTTTTTAGTTTATGTCTGGGCTAATATTACTAAACTATATTTATTTAAATATATATTCTTTAAATAATTTATTTTATTCACATTCAAATAATTTATTTATTTATTTATGCTTAAAAGGATTATTTTGTCACTAATTTTTTTATTTTTTTCCATCTCTGTTTTTGACATTTTTTAGCAAAAAAAGAATTAGTAGCTAATAATATATATATTTTTTTGACAATAGCAGCCAATTTTTAAGAAAAAAAATTTCAAAAAATATTTGTGTAGTTGATTCTCTTAATTCTTTAAATTTTTGTTTTATTCATAAAATTCCTTTTAAATTTTTTTTATTTTCCTTATTTTCTTTTTGACAAAAAAAATAAAAAGGATTTTCTTGGTTACGATTGAATACTTTAATTTTTTTGGTTATTTTTTGGATTTAAAATTGTTTATTAAATTATTGAAAATTTTGTCGTCTTTTTCTTTAGAAATCTTAGATTTATAATATGTTTATTAATTATAAATAAAAATTAAAATATTTAAAAATAAATTATAATACATATTTTTAATTAAATTATTTATTTATCTTATACCAAAACTAATAAGATTTTGAATAAATTGATTGTACAAAATAATGTTAACTATTTTTTTTTAACTATTTATTTAACTATATTTTTATTTTAAGTAATAGGTATTTAAATTTATTAAAATATATTCTATAATTTACATTTTTTACTATTTTAAAAACCAAAAAATTCTACAAATTAAATTAAGATTTTTCTCCAAATTTAGACCAAAAATAAATTAAATAAAGCAGATCAATAAAAAAATTCGAGAAAAAGGAACACAAAAATAATTTAATTCTGTAAATACTTATTTAAAATTCCCAAAATTTCCTTCCTACCAAAAACCTAAAAAGCATAAAAAGGAAGCAATTTTGGGTTAAAATAAAATAAAGCAAATTAACAGTAAAAATAAATGTGGGAAAAGCGACAGGAAAAAGGAAAAGAAAAGAAAATTTTTGTTGGTTAGTTAGTTAGTGGTTGCGAGAATTTTTAAATAAAAATTTTTGTGGCAATTAAAGAAAAAAGATTTTTAACTAAAATTTTATTTAAATTTATTTAAAGTCAATTAAATATTTTTAAAAATTAAATCTTTAATTTTTTTTTCTTTCTTTAAAAATTAAATAAATGTTTTTTTAATCTATTTTCTTCTAAATATTTTTATTTATATTTCAATCATTTCTTCTCCTTCTCCCTCCACCTCTCCAAATAACTTTCAAGGTTGAGAATGAAAAACAAATAGTAAATTTATTTGCGGGAAAGAAGCTTTTATTTTAATAAAATAAAAATAACTAATTAATTTTTTATTCTTTCCCCCCTTTTTAAAAAAAACGAACACGAAGAAACAAATATTTTCAACATTAAAATATTTTCTTTTTGTTCATTCCATTTTTTATTCATTTAATATTTTTGTGCCACTTCACACTTCCATTTAAAAAAATTTCAAACTCTCTTTTTTATTTAGAAAGCTTAAAAAATTTTTTATTTAATTTTTCTTTTTTTAATGATTTTTTGGCCAAAGATATAAAGAACTTAAAAACGGCAAACAATTTGTTTCTTTTTTTATTTGATAAAAAGCACATTAACTTATTTGTTGTCATTTTAACTTTTCCTTTTTATCAAATAACAAACAAAATTATTTATCTATTTATCTATTTTATCAAAAATTATTACCAAATAACCAATAACAACAATTCTTTTATTCCCCTTATTCAATACCAATTTTAACTTTTATTTTCTCAATTTGGAGACATCCAATTTTGTTTTCTTCTAAAGAATACATACTCCCACTCATCCAAACAAGAAAATCTAATTTTGTTTATTTATTTCTGGCAAATTCAATTTATTTATTTAATTAATTTTGTGGGTTTTACAAACAAAAAATAAAATTAGAAAATTTAATTTAAAAATGTTTTGGACTAAAGAATTTTTATATTTTTCTAAAATTATTTTTTAATTGAGAATTTTTCACTATCTTTTTGTCAAATATTATAGATAAAATTATTTAATTATTATGAGAAATTAAAAAATATATTTTTAATAAAAATATTTTTTTACATATGTATAAACTTCTTGTTTAACAAATAAGTGTTGTCTTAAACTCATTAATTATTTTAAAAAACTTTGGAAGAAAAAATATTCTTTTGAATAATTATTTTATTTAAATAAAGCCTTTATTTTCTTTTAAATAAAAATTCTTTTTATTTTTCTTCTATTAATTTTATTTAAATAAATTTCTTCAAAAAGAAATTCTTCTTATTATTTTTTTTGCAATAAATAATCTTCGTTTTTATAAAAATAAATTTTTCTTTTTTGATCGTAAAGTCCAAATGAAGAATTGCCTTAGCGATGAATTTCTTTGTTTGTTTTTGTGCGTGCCTTTATATTTTTTATTTATTTTAATGTTGAGTCAGCCGGTGGTGGTTGGTAGATTTGCTTTTTCTTTTATTTTTTTCAATTCCTTTTCTTTCCCTTTTTTCCATTTTCATTGCCTTGCTTTTCGTCTGCTCGATCCCCAAAGGATGTTTTTGCTCTAGAAGGTTTTCACATCTTTTATATGCTTTACTTAAACAAATATATGGAGAAATATATATACACCAAGTCAATCCTTATATTGACTTGGTTTTTAGCTCATTTATGTAGCTATATTATTATTACAATTTTTTACATTTTTTACATTATAGAATATTATTGCAGAAGATTTTAATATTTTTTTATATTTAAAAATGTTTATAGAAATAATGGGGATATAAAGATGGGGGCATGATTGGATGTAAAGAGGTTTTAATTTTGAAAACAAGGGAGAGAAGGAGGAATATCCCTGAGAATCTAAAACTTTTTAAATTTTATTATATTTTCTATTTTTATTTAAATATCGTTTCAATAATATTATTTTTAATAATTTTTCTAAAAAATATTCTTTATTTTTAATTAAATCCAAATTAATATAATTTTTAAAAATTAATTTAAACCACAAAATTTCCCGTCACACATCGTTCTACTTTGTTGTTCTTATTTTTATTTATTAAATTTTATTAAAAATATAACCTGTTTATTGAAAGAAAAATACTTTTAAATTTATTAAATTAAACTTGTTTTATTTTAAAATTTATAAAAAAATTTTTTAATTAAAATAAATAAATATTTTTGTTTAAAATTATTAATTAATTAATTAATTAATTTAAATTTTAACACAAATTTTCTCCCTTTAAATCTCTTAAAATAAAATATTTTTTATTTTTCATTTTCTCTTAATATTTATTTTCCACTATTTGCATCCCCAATTGGTCCTTTTTCGCATGATCGCGCTTATTTAGTTAGTCGTAAATTAATTTTGTAAAATTAAATTGTTAAGAAATATATGTGTGTTAAGTTATTGCCTAATTCTTTCCAGTTGGTGATTCTCGTAAATTTATTTTTGTTTTTTTTTTGTCTTAAAATTGTCTAAAGAAAAAAAAGAATATTTATTTATTTAATCAGCCAGTTTTACATATTTATTATTATTTGCTTGTACATACAATTATTGCACTTTTCGCTTGGCTGAGATTGTTTTAGACAGCTTCTATTTTGTTATATTTAATAATATGTATTTTAGTGAAAGGAATTATTAAATAAATTAATTATTTGGGGAATTAAATAAGAAAGAATTTACATCTTCTACCTATTCCATATCTCTATGTTGAAAATCTGATCGAGTTTTCTTCAGAAAGTAATATTTCATTTATTATTCTTTTAAGTTAAATATTAATTAAATTTTTTAAATTAATTTTTTCATTTTCCCCAAAATTATTTTTTATAATTAATTTTTAATTAAATATTTATTGTCTAAAACAAAAAAATTATTAAAATTTAATATTTCTTATTTGTAAATATTTT